TAACTCTGCTTCCAGCGATCACTTTACAGGTTCTGCTACTACAGAACCAGAACCCTCTTCCCTCTAAAACTGGACAATAAAACATGTCTCTGCCTGCTGTTGCCATGGTGACCTGGACAGCTTCAGGTTCTGTTGAACTGGGCTGGGTACCATGGAAACCAAGGATGCTTGTTTGGGTCTCCAGGTTTCCCAGCAACCTTTACTGAACCCAGAATGTGAGATCAGAACATCGATCTCTTTTCACTGGATCGCTGAGTGCCTGAAAGAAGTAAAGCCACCGTCCGCCATCTTGGTACTCCCCACTCCCACGCAGTCAAAATGCCTTCCTGTGCAGCATTTGGCTTCATTAACCAGCAGTTTTCTGGCTGCAGGAAGACGATCCACAGAGATGTAATCACCGTAATGTCATCAATCCAGGTCTTTGACATGAACATCATCAATTTATCACTTTTGGCTCATCTGTATTATTCTGCTCCATTAACACATTAATTTTATTGTGATGGATTTATATGTTATATGATTTATAGACTTCATAATGACTCTGCAATGTGATGGGCCTATTTTTTTTTTTTCAGTGGATCAGAACCAGAACATTGATGCCTGGAGCTGCATGAGGACCTGCAGGTCCTCAGGCCTCCAGCAGGTGGCAGCAAACCTCCATCCTGTTCTGCAGGTCCAACAGATCAGAGGCGTTTTTAGACCATTTTGGGGGGTGCTGAGGCACCCTTAAATTACACAGCACCCCTAAAATATGGCTTGTTTTTTCTTATATTGTATACGCTTTCTAAATTGAAAAAAGTAAAACAAAAACATACATAATATAGAACAGACTAAAAACTATGCAGTACTTGGATTAAATAAAAAAGTTATATATAAAAAGTTAACATATTCTCCCATTAGAAATGGAAATTTTTTAGCTGCCAGTGAAAAAGTAAAACTTAGATGAAAATGCTCCCATTTGTTATTTTTGAATTGTGGTTCATTAGAAATGTTAATGAGGTAAAGCAGCAGGATGGAGCTGCTAAAATAAAACATTAAAGGTGATTTCTACTGATGGTTTGTTAGTGAAATGTTCGTGAGGAAGGTGCTCTAATGCGTCTGGGACTGTTTCTTTAAATCATTATTTTTAAAATCACAATTCAAAATCAGTATTTCAATTGATCAAATCATTATTTTATGTTTTTAATTTGTATTTTCTTTTCAGTTTCTTGTTATTAGAATTACTGCTGTGAATTTATCCTTTTCTTTATCAGGAGTGTTTCTAAACTTTCCAGCATAACTGTAGATATTTACCTTATTAAATAGAATCCATGTTAGGAGTGTCGGTCCAAAGAGGAGCGGTTTAGAAGGAGGAGGAGCGGAAAAGGAGGCGAGTTTCAACTCCTCCAAGAAGACAGAAACAGAAAAGTCTCAGATGTGTTGGTCAGTGATGGAGTCAGTTATTGACGAACCCGGCGGGTCCACGCCATCCTGTGACCCACATGTGACTAAATAAACATTGTTTTTATGTAACTTTTCATTTGATTTAACTTTGAAATAAAGATTATTTCTAAAGCTGCTGCAGAGCTGCTCCATCAACATCAGGCAGAGCGGCTCTGACCAGCAGAGGGAGGCAGCATTTGAACCAGCAACCCTCGTCCATCAGGGAGAGGAGGGGCCAGGGGTCAAAGGTCAGGAGGAGACTTGGAGAACCACAGGGAGAACATCCTGATGGGTCAGATGGAGCAGAACCGCCGTCCAAACGGCGCCGCTTCATCTTCTTCTGAACCGATTCTGTTTTCAGGAACCGGCCGATTATTGGATCAGATAACGGAGAAGATCAACGATCCCTGGAGGAGCAGCGGAAGCTGGTTCTGACCCAGAGAAGCTCTGGTTGGACGGAACCTCTGAGCAGAGGAACTGCTCCATCCAGGCGGCTCGAAGCAGAACCTGCAGAGGCCCAGATGGAGCAGAACCTAAAGCCTGAGGTACCATGGTTCTGCTTAAATGGAGCCAAAAGAACCAGATGATGGACCCAGAACCCAAAACCACAGCATGAAGAACAGTAAACTGGGCCCAGCAGAACTGTTCACCTGACGAGTAGAACCAGACAGAACCGGACCGGATAAAGATGAGCATCAGAACCATCTGGAGGAGAAAAGTTCTCAGGAAGATTTAAACCCGATCAGAACCGGTTCTGATCCAGTTCAGGTTCCTCAAATCACAGACGGAGCAGAAATCAGTCGATCAGGAATTTAATAAAAACCAAAGGAAATAATTTTCTTCTTCTGTGAAAATAAGTTTTTATCTTTATGGACAGAAATGAAAATATTGGACCTTATGAAGGAGACAGTGATCAGAACCGAATCGGTCCGGAACATTCAGTCAACAATCAGTGGACCGGGAACCCCGGAGCGGAGCGGACCGGGACCCCGGAGCGGACCGGGACCTGGATGCGTCCTGTGAAAGCACAGAGTGTGGGATCAGTCCGGGTCGTCGGTGGGACACAATCGGCAGGAAGTCCACATTCATCCTGGTGTCAGAAGAAGATCAGAGCGATCGAGCATCAACGGAAGCCTGGAGGGGCCAAAAACGCTAACTTCCTGCTTCACACCAGCAGGGGGAGTCATTGGCTCCTCCTGCTGCGGATCAGAACAACAGAGCTGCAGTTTCTGACACAAACAGGCTTCTGTAGAAAAAAAACATTTTGTTACGAATCAAAACATCAGATTCCACAAAGAAAAGCAAAAAAGAGAAACAGTGATGGTTACATTCCAGGTGCAGAGGCTCCGCCCACAGCCCCGCCCCCGTGGGACAATCAGTGTGTTAGGTGGAGGGGGCGGGGCCAAGAATCAACCAATCTATCGAGTGAACACATGACAGGTAGCCAGCGAGCAGAAACATCAAAAGAAAAGTCTGAACTGGATCAGGCCTGGCATCGAACCCACAACCTCTGGAACAGGAAGTGAGGGAGGCACTGAGAGTCTGAGTGATTCTCTTCAAAATAAAAGCCCCTGCTCAGGAAAACCAAACATTTTATTCAGTCAGAGGGATTTCAGACATCGATCAGATTCAGGTGATCAGGAAGCGGCTCAAGTATGATGACATCATCCACAGGTGGGATAGAAAACTAGATTCTCTATAATTCTAGATTTTATTTTCTACAAGAAGAGTCATTTCATTATCTATGAAACTAAAATCAATGAGGTTTAATTTTCCTCTTTCTCATCAGTAACACCTTAATAAAGTAAAGTTATGATATTAATGGATCCATCTTCAGGCCTTATTATGGGAGCGGGACCCCCCAACCAGACCCCCCCAGATGGAGCAGGACCCCCCCCCCCCAGATAGAGCGGGACCCCCCAACCAGACCCCCCCAGATAGAGCGGGACCCCCCCAGATGGAGCGGGACCCCCTCCAGAAGAAGCGGGACTCCCCAACCAGACCCCCTCGGATGGAGCCGGACCCCCTTTTACCTGACCCCCCCCAAAAGGAGCGGGACCCCCCCCAGATGGAGCGGGACCCCCTAACCCGACCCCCCCCGAGATGGAGCGGGGCCCCCTAACCAGACCCCCCACAGATGGAGCAGGACCCCCTCCAGATGGAGCGGGACCCCCTAACCCGACCCCCCCCCGAGATGGAGCGGGACCCCCTAACCAGACCCCCCACAGATGGAGCAGGACCCCCTCCAGATGGAGCGGGACCCCCTAACCCGACCCCCCCCCGAGATGGAGCAGGACCCCCTAACCAGACCCCCCCAGATGGAGCGGGACCCCCCAACCAGACCCCCCCAGATAGAGCGGGACCCCCCCGGATGGAGTGGGACCTCCTAACCAGACCCCCCCAGATGGAGCGGGACCCCCCCCCGATGGAGCGGGACCCCCCCCCCCCAGATAGAGCGGGACCCCCCAACCAGACCCCCCCAGATAGAGCGGGACCCCCCCGGATGGAGCGGGACCCCCTAACCAGACCCCCCACAGATGGAGCAGGACCCCCCCAGATGGAGTGGGACCTCCTAACCAGACCCCCCCAGATGGAGCGGGACCCCCCCCCCCGATGGAGCGGGACCCCCCCCAGATGGAGCGGGACCCCCTAACCCGACCCCCCCCGAGATGGAGCGGGGCCCCCTAACCAGACCCCCCATAGATGGAGCAGGACCCCCCCCAGATGGAGCGGGACCCCCTAACCAGACCCCCCACAAATGGAGCAGGACCTCCTCCAGATGGAGCGGGACCCCCTAACCCGACCCCCCCCGAGATGGAGCAGGACCCCCTAACCAGACCCCCCCAGATGGAGCGGGACCCCCCCCCAGATAGAGCGGGACCCCCCAACCAGACCCCCCCAGATAGAGCGGGACCCCCCCGGATGGAGCGGGACCCCCTAACCAGACCCCCCACAGATGGAGCAGGACCCCCCCAGATGGAGTGGGACCTCCTAACCAGACCCCCCCAGATGGAGCGGGACCCCCCCCCCCGATGGAGCGGGACCCCCCCCCCCGATGGAGCGGGACCCCCCCCAGATGGAGCGGAACCCCCTAACCCGACCCCCCACAGATGGAGCAGGACCCCCCCAGATGGAGCGGGACCCCCCCCCCCCCCGATGGAGCGGGACCCCCCCCCGATGGAGCGGGACCCCCCCCAGATGGAGCGGAACCCCCTAACCCGACCCCCCACAGATGGAGCAGGACCCCCCCAGATGGAGTAGGACCCCCCCCCGATGGAGCGGGACCCCCCCAGATGGAGCGGGACCCCCTAACCCGACCCCACCCGAGATGGAGCGGGACCCCCTAACCAGACCCCCCACAGATGGAGCAGGACCCCCCCCAGATGGAGCGGGACCCCCTAACCAGACCCCCCACAGTTGGAGTAGGACCCCCCCCAGATGGAGCGGGACCCCCTAACCCGACCCCCCCCCCCCCCCCCTAGATGGAGCGGGACCCCTTAACCAGACCCCCCCAGATGGAGCGGGACCCCCCAACCAGACCCCCCCAGATAGAGCGGGACCCCCCCAGATGGAGCGGGACCCCCTTTACCCGACCCCCCCAGATTGACCTGCTCATAATCTGCTATCATTAGTTTTTCTAACTCCCGTCTGATTGGATCATTTCTATCTTTTAGGGAACAGGAAGTGAGGTCGTCTGGCTCGGTTTCCTCATCACCTGTCGGCTAATCAATGTCAGAACCCAGCGCGCTCGGCAGCATACGGTAGAGGTATGGCTATTTCCTGGGTGTGTGTGGCCTGGTTTCCATGGAGACGGTCAGTCCAGCAGCGTGCCCTGCTCCTGAGCTCGGGTAAGGCTGTCCTTGCGGTGCAGGTGGTGCACCCCCATCCTCTTGGGGCTCTTCATCGGCCGCTGAGGGCCGGGGGCGGGGTCAAACTCGAGGAGGCGGGGCGAGATGACGGGCAGCCCATGAGGAAAAACGTCTTTTTCTTCAGCAGAGCTGTTGTCGCCCTCCTCCTTCCTGTGGCTGTCGGCTGGGCCCGTTGCCACGGTGATGGTAGTGTCTACGCTTCCAGTTTCATCCTCCAGGTTCATCAGGAGCTGCTCGCCATCCTCGGGGCCGCTCCCGGCGCCGTAGTGGCTCCTCCTGCTGGGCTGAGCCTCCGTGTCAGTGTCCGTATCCAAACTGGACCCTCTGCTGGGCGTCCAGCTCCGCGCCGACGAGCCATCCTCTCCGTCCGAATACGCGGTTCTGTGGCGTTCTGATGAGGCAGCGGCCCCGCCGGCCGCCACCTGTCTCCTCCTCTGCAACTCCTTCGCCGTCTGACTGCTGAAAGATGTACGGTGCGTCACCGAACCCTCGCAGGACGGCGCCATCTTCTCCACAAACATTCGCTGCCAATTGGCGAGGAGGTCCTCCTCTGAGCTGGCAGAGCTCGCCGGGACGCTCGGTGCCTGAGGGGAAGAATCACGGATCAGGTTCATTAGATTTCCTGGTTCTAAAAGGTTCTGTTCATCGACCGCTAGCAGGTCCCAGTTTGGTCCAGAATCCTCCAGAGGTTCCAAGCGGTCCTGAAAGCACCTGGACCTTCCTGGGCATGGCACCTCTGGAGGATCTGGAACCATCAGACCATCAACCAGTCATGTGACTGATTCTACTCTGCTCTCCGATTGGTCGGTAGCAGCTGTAGGCGGAGCTTCCTCGTACCTGCGGCGGGCTGCTGAACGGGCTTGACTGGGTGGAGAGCGGCTCACTGATGGCATCGCGCTGTGACGGCGGCGTGTGCTGGTTGACTCCGCCCCCCCCGCCTGAGGAAGAGGAGGGGGCGGGACTTCCTGGGGCCAGACGCTCCTCGTCGTTCTGAACAAGGCTCAGGGAGATGGCCTGCCGCGTGGCGTAGGTGCAGTTGGGCAGCGGCGAGTTCTTGGGGATTTTGACTTTGTCGTCGGACGAGAACTCGATAACCTTACGCCCCGGGTAGAGCGGGTGAGGCGGCGGCGGCGCCGGGTACGGGTTGAGCTTCTCAAAGGACGGGGCCCCGCCCAGCTCCTCGTCTAGGCTGCTCTGACTGCGACAGGACCCGTTGTGCTGCGCCTCCTCCAGAGCGCCGCCGTTCTCCCGGGCCTCGCCCGCCGGGTCCGTCATGTCCACGTGCACGAAGACGTCCTCGGCGACCGGTCGGCCGCAGCTGCTGGACTGAGCCGAGTTCAGGACCAGCGGCTCGGGTTTCTCCAGGACGCGGGCGATGACGGAGGTGGGCACCACGTCGGCGTGCGTCAGGCTGAGCGTGTCCGGGTCCTGGCAGCCGGGGGCGGGGCCTCGCTCCGGAAGGCTGCTCTTCATGTGTTTGTTCAGCATGTCCTGCAGCTCTGAGGGCAGCTGGACGGAGACAAAGACAGGAAGCCATCATGAAGGACCTCAGTCATCCAGGTCATCGTCATTTCAAACAAGTTAAAATCAACCCTCTGGACTTTGTTTCCAAGTTTGAAGACGTTTCTCTTCCATCCAGGAAGATTTTTCAAAGTCCAAACAAAGTCCAGTGGATTGTTTTGAACTTTTTTGGAACAAAGACAGGAAGGACAGCAGAGTGGGCGGCGGAGACGTTTACAGCCGTCACTTTTCCACCATGTTGGAGCATCTGTGTACCCAGGGAACCCCTTAGATGCTCAGAGATTCAGAAAGCATTGAGGGGTGAGGATGAACTGGACGACACACCGAGGGTTAACCATCCTTAGAAGGTTCGGCACCTTTGGACCCGTTTCTCTAGAACCTTTTCTGGTTCTGTTCCTCACATTAAATGGGCCCCTCTCTGAACGTCTCCACTGATGGAGCCAGCCTTTAAATAGCTGCTGTTCTAATTATTACCCCACTGGTGCAGCATAAAGTCTCCATCTGATGCTTCATGGCTGGAAATGTCAGAACCGGACCGGTACCGCTGCTGTGGGGATGAGAGCCCAGCAGAACCACCCCCCACGGCGTGGGACCTCCAGTCTGTGCTCAGCAGTGGAACGAGGACGGTCAGCATGATCCTATTTACTCTTATTAAAGGTCATCATCATCATCATCAATAATCAGTAAAAGGATGAAGAGGGACCCTTCAGATGGAAACTGGTCCATTAGTGATGGTTCTGTTGGGGATGAACTGGTTCTGGTACTTACGTCAGCAAACTTGTGGTTCCTGAAATGGGATTTGTTGCATTTGAGCAGCTGAACGGCCAAGTTGCAGTCCTGCCTGTAGCGCTCCTGCACACAGACATAAGGTTAGCATTAGCTGCATGGTTCTTAGCAGTTCTGGAGGATTCTTTAAAACCTCAGCTGGTTCATTTTAAAACATTTTAGGCTTTGATCGTGTTTTTCTGTCTCTGTGTTCCAGGCGGGATGTTATCCTTGCTGAATAATTACAACTGGGATCAAGTTCAGATGCTAATTGGTGAAACAGGATCTATGTGCTCAAATGCCACTGCTTTAGCCAACCCGCCCAGCGGCTACGCGTTAGCCAAACGATCCGCCCAGCGGCTCTGCGTTTGCCAAACGACCCGCCCATCGGCTCTGCGTTAGGCGTTCCTAAGTTGAGTTTCTGTTTTATCCCTCTGTTCCTGAACTGTAGACGAAATGGGATGCTACGCTACCTCCAGGAGCTAACTTTAGCAGCTTTGGATTTAAACATAAATCTAGTCTTTTTGAGTTTAATGTTTTCCTTTCATGTTAACATTATGCTATATAGTGCGTAATCTAAAGAAAGAAACAACTAGAATGCAGATAAACACGGTTTAATCAGATTTACTGCTCTGATCGTGACCCATGATGACGTCAGAGACGCTGGAAAAAGCAGCAAAATGTCTCAGAAAAGTCAGAAAACATTTTTTAAAGATGTGTATTAGCATTCTTTAGTGAGTTAAAGGAATAGTACACCCAAAACATGATTAGCCTTCATTTTCTACTCACCCCCATGCTGAACAACACTCTGGAGTACTTTTTTGATATCTCAAATGCATCTGGAGATCTGGGAGGCTTCTTGCTGTCTACTGACATTCAAATAATGGAGGTCTATGGTGCCCGAGGCAGAAAGGTCCATAAAAGTCCACAAAAAACGTGTCAATATTCCTCCATACTGCTCGTCCAATGTATTCCAAGTGTCCTGAGTGGGTAGCGTCCAGAATTTACTCGAAACGGAGTCATTTAGAATGTTTTTAGAGCATAAACAGTAGTGTATAGGATTTCCTGAAAGCGCGCGCCGGCGCATTCACGAGTCTATGGAAGCCGCGGCAGACCAAACCAGATGAAAGTGCGCATTCAGCGTCTGCTCTGCCGATAATGCAAGCGTAGAAGAAGAAATGTGCTGTTTACCTGTGCAAAGAAAGAAACAACGAAAGAAAAATGTCTGAGGACTTCAGTGTTGAGGAAGAGCATGAGTTCTTTGCCGAGCTGAATGCGCACTTTCGTCTGGGTTGGTCTGCCGCGGTTTCCGTAGACCGTGAACGCGCTTTTAGGAAATCCTATACACTACTGTTTATGCTCTAAAAACATTCTAAATGACTTCGTTTCAAGTAAATTCTGGATGCTACCCACTCAGGAAACTTGGAATACATTGGACGAGCAGTATGGAGGAATATTGACACGTTTTTTGTGGACTTTTATGGACCTTCTGCCTCGGGCGCCATAGACCTCCATTATTTGAATGTCAGCAGACAGCAAGAAGCCTCCCAGATCTCCAGATGCATTTGAGATATCAAAAAAGTACTCCAGAGTGTTGTTCAGCATGGGGGTGAGTAGAAAATGAAGGCTAATCATGTTTTGGGTGTACTATTCCTTTAAGGATGGAAATAAATATTTTTTTGTACCATTATTTAATGTATTTAATCATGGTCCTGGGACGATAGAGTAGGGACAGGCCTCGCTGCCGGCGGCGTCCAATGATGCGTCTACGCACAATGGCAGACCACTGCTCCCCAATGGGAGATTAATTAAGTTTAATTATTATTAATGTCTATGAGTGAGTAGGTCTGTGTTAGCAGAAGCTAACTAAGACCCGTCTGACTCAGCTGTGCTGAAGTCATCAAGATTCAGCTGCTTTTAATTAGCAGTCTGGGGGCCAATGCACCGCAGTTTAATCTGCTGTTGTTCCACTCAGCCTCGACACGCCCAGATGATTTCATCTTTACCTCAGTGTTTCTCAGCCTTTCTGCAGTAGATACCTGAATGTGGACGCTCAGACAGGAGCCAATCAGAAGCTGGGCATGGTTTCCATGGAAACAAACTAAAGGTGGACAGCAAAGAGTGTAGAGTGCAGGTTCTTACATTCAGCTCCTCCAGACGGTCTATGGTGTTTTTAGCATCCAGAAGTTTGTTGGTGAGTTGCACTATCTCCTGGTCCATGGTCTTTTTGTCCCTCTCCACCTTCCGTAGCTGCAGACAGACACCATTTAGGAGCCAATCAGAAGGCTGAGCTGTTAGCAGAGGGCATTTGCAGGGATCAGTACATTCAGATCATGTGGGAATAACACACTACATCCTCCCTCAGTGGTTTCCTCTCGAGGACGTTTTCCCAGATCATTTGAATGCTGCGTTAGCGAGCAGCGCTGCCTAATGCACTATGGGATGCAGAAAAGTGGCTGCAGTTACTGGAGGATCAATGACATTTGATTGGATTGATCAAAGCGTCAAAGCTGAAAGAAATCAGTTGAGTAATCCGATTGTGCCCAAAGCAAACATGACAAAGATCAGCATGGCGGCTCTACGTCATCGGATCAGGACGGGAATAATGGAGCCTCCTCACTGAGGAGACGCAAGCTCCTGTAAAAACCAGACCCTTCTGTTAGTGTCGCTGCGGGCGTCTGATCATGTTAGCATGCTAAAGCTAAGGCTGAGCATCATGCAGAGCATTCATGCTGCAGCGCATTATGGTCTGACTACACAGTTTAGCTGTAGAATGTAGCATGCAAAGGCTAACATGGATCCAACTTCTACCAGCGCCCCCCAGGCTAAGGTCAGGAGCCCCGGGCCAGTTTTTATTAGCAGCAAACCTAAAAACAGAAGAGTTTAAAATACTTTCTGAGGGCCGCGTCTGGTTTCATGTTCATCACCTTTAATCATTCATGGAGACATTTCCACAGAGAACCATCCAGCTGCTGTCCTTCCTCATCACAGGATCTGTTTTACCTTTTCCCTGTAACGACTGAACCAGCCGTTAGCTTTAGCCTTAACTTCCAGTTTATAATTACAAACCGCTTGTTATTAGTGGTACAACGAGGAAATAATAGCACTACAGCCGATGTGTCGCGGCTAAGGTCACCGCACCGTTTGTCTGAGAATCTGTCATCTCCACGCCTCCGAGAAAAGGGATTATTTAATGGTTTAATTTCTCTGTAATAAATGTTTTAGAAAAGTTTAGAAACTGTGATCACATGATGATCATTAAGCCGGGCGTGCACTGGGCGATATCGTGCCCTTTTCGGGCCGTCTTTCATCCTGATGGTGCGTGGTGCAGTTTACAGCAGGTAACGAGGGGCGATCAGCCTCTAACAACCGCCTCCCCATCAGGACCAGATAGACGAGTCCGAGTAGCGCCATCTCACTGCGGAGCCGAGTCCCACCTGGTTATAGACGTACAATGTGAGCAGGTAGAGCGCATCAGAACCCTGCAGTTTCCTTGTACAGAGTGAGCTGTAGCTGCGTGCAGCGACGGGAAACATCGTACAGTGACCTCAAAGCTCTGAGCATGTACTGACACCGTCAATGCAGCAGGGGGCGCATTTCAGAGCAACTACATTACAATCCGATTAACCAGAGAAATAAAAATGATAAATAAATCCATTTATGCTTCATAGTTTTATCCATTTAAAGTATTAATAAAATACTGATATTTCTACTTTTATGATTTTAAAGAATACCGTTTAAAGTGACATAACAGAGGAAGGAAAGAGATATTTTCAGTTTGTTTCCTAAAGCATTAAATGTGGATCTGTGTTTCTAATGACCTAAATGAACACAAACGGTGCAGAGAGAACCAATACAGAAATCACCAGCAGGGTCAGCATGCTAAAGCTAACGCTAACATTACATGCCTGAATGTCAGTGCAGTATACCAATCAACACACTAACTTCAGCATGCTATAGTAACACTACGGTCAGCTTGGTAAAAGGGCATGCTAGGAGCTAGCTAACTCAAAGTTCAGGAACAAAAGCCAACGTTAGCATGCTAGGAGCTAGCTAACTCAAAGTTCAGGAACAAAAGCCAACATTAGCATGCTAGGAGCTAGCTAACTCTAAGTTCAGGAACAAAAGCCAACATTAGCATGCTAGGAGCTAGCTAACTCTAAGTTCAGGAACAAAAACCAACGTTAGCATGCTAGGAGCTAGCTAACCAAGTTCAGGAACAAAAGCCAACGTTAGCATGCTAGGAGCTAGCTAACTCTAAGTTCAGGAACAAAAGCCAACGTTAGCATGCTAGGATTTAGGTTAATCAAAGATCAGGGTGATTGTCGCTACCTGATTGTCCCGGGAGCACGATCCATACCATCGGCTCATTTACACATCCAGATATTCATCCAGGTCACATAAATTTTGTAATTATGGTACGAAAATTATTTCTCTTGTCCTTAACTCACTAAAGAATGCTAATACACATCTTAAAAAAATGTTTTATGACTTTTCTGAGACAATTTGCTGGTTTTTCCATTTTCTCCATCAAACAGCATCTCTGACGTCATCATGGGACACGATCAGAGCAGTAAATCTGATTAAACCGTGTTTATCTGCATTTTAGTTGTTTTTTTATTTAGATTACGCACTATACAGCATAATGTTAACATGAAAGGAAAACAATCTCAAAAAGACTAGATTTAGGAAAGACTAAATCAGGTAGTGACAGTGCTATAGCTAACAAAAACCAAACATTAGATTTATGTATAAATCCAGAGCTGATAAAGTTAGCTCCTGGAAGTAACGTAGCATCCCATTTTCTCCACAGATCAGGAACAGAGGGATAAAACGGGATTTTAATTAATTTAATTTCTCAGGAAATACATTATTAACCTATATAGTTCTTTACTATATAGTTCTTTACAAAAACCAAACATTAGCATAAGACTGATAGCCAAAAGGTAGGCAAGTAATGTAACAATTATTTCAGTATTGTTTAGTAATAATAATGTTCATGTTACAAAGATAATGCTAACATCGTGCTAACATTAAGGTAACCCTTCTTTTTTCAGCTTGCTATAAATAAAATGCTAACATTTCCACACAGGAATCAGAGTGACGCTAATATAGGCATGCCGCAGCTAATGAAAGCTAACACTAGCATTCATAAATCAAGCTAACCCAAATAGAAGCACGTCAAAGCTAAAAAAAACAGTTGACAACATTCAGGGATAAAGACAACCTAAATTTAAGCATGCTATAGGTATTGGAAGCTAACATTAGGATGCTAAGACTGAGCTAACTCCTATTTCAAACCAATATTAGCATTCAGGGATTATGGTAACTAATGCGCCTCCATCTAGGTTAGCTTAACTCCTGCTTATGTTAGCGATAGCATACTTAGGCTATCGCTAACATAACACTGTCTTCAGCATGCTATTGTCTTAAGCAAAGAAAATGATAGTGTTATTATGCAAAGTCTGAGTCAGCATTTAGTGTATTAACACTTAGCATGGCGACGCTACTTTAACACTTTAAATGTAGAACTCTTAAGGGCTGGTTATCATCCCGCAGCAGTGTGTCGCAGTTAGCTTGTCGCAGGTATGACGCAGATATTTTTTTATCTATGCCCAATATTGAAGCGTGGTCTGCGCCGTTATTCCAGGCCACAACGCCAGAGGGCCAATCAGGAACTAGATAGGATTGTGGGTGTCTGTGTGTCGGTTTAACCAGCTGTTCGCCGTCTACAACACCTCATCCAATGCCGGACGTCACACAGTTCCCCCGTGAGTGTTCCCCAAAGACTGGCCAGTCGCTGCGTGTTTTCACGCAGCGACTGGCCAATCAGAGGCCTCCGGTCTGCGGCACTGTCTCCGTTAACTGCGACACACACGCAGACGAGCTGGTTTCTGAGCATAAATGAGGCTTTAGGAAGCAAACATTGTTCTTTGGGTTCTGGTTTCCAGCAGGACTCTTTTCTAAGCAACCTTTAAACATTCGGTTTGATCTGAAGCAGCAGGAGAAACCCGATATGATGAGAATGAGAGCGTTTGAACACCAGGTCCAATCAGAGGTCAGCTAAGAGTCGTCAGGATCACACCAGAAGAAACCATGACGGTCTGCTGGGGTCGCTTTGGAATCAACAAAAATAAACAGACTTTAAAAGGGGTTTAGTTCCTGAAAGCTGACTCTGATGACGTGGTTCTCGAAAAGACTGAGGAAGAGGAAGGGAGGGATGAGGAAGATGAGGATGAATGAAACCCAACTGCATGAACCCATGTCTGGCTGACGGCAGCCTGATGAAGATGGTGATGAAGATGAGTCCATCAGAGAGCAGCGTGAGGAAAGGAGAGAAGAGATGAAGGACAGTCAGACACAGGAACCATCATCATCATCAGAACAAACATCACAGCAGAAGAAGTTCCTCCTGTCAGGACACCCGGCACCAACCGGCCCGGGAACAGAACGAGAACCTTCCTGGCAGGCGGTCCGCTTCAGAGAAATAAACAGATTCACAGGTTTGAGAAGAATTAGAGGAGAGAAAAACTTCTAACAGAACCGAGTCCTTCAGAGGGTTGAAGGTCCTGCTTCTGTTTGGCTGGGTCACGATCTACAGACCACTTCGTCTCTCAGTGGAACTAAGGTAGAGGAGAAGAACCGCCTGGAACCGGATCAGAGCGGTGGCAGAATCAGTGACGATAACGCTGCTTCTGATCTCCCCGTGTCTGAAAGGGTCGGCCCGGCCCAGACCTCACCATCTACACCTGGAGGACCTGGAGCTTCACTTCAGCCTCCATCTTGTTCCTGTCGCAGAGAGGTCCACAACATCTGGAAGGAATCCGACTCTGATTCTGGAGGAACATCAGGGTGGAAGGAACCCAGCCGTCAGAGGGAACCAGGACTATTAGAAGGAGAACCAGAGCTGGACCCAGGTACCTTCAGAAGGTTCTTCCACTCAGATCAGCAGAACCTGCTGGTTTTGGACATCCTAACACCTTCTGATTTACATACCACATCATCATCATCATCATGAGTTACCATGGCAACCGCTCTGCTGTCACTCAACCTTTTCCACAGCTGATCAATGCACTGGGGGACCAATGAGGTCAGCCAGGGGACCAATCAGAGGACTCATTACAGCTATCAGCTCAGTAACTAATGATGGGATCCAGATTGATAGCATGCTGCTCATCAAGGGATCAAAGCAGACGTTACCAAAGCGTGGAGCTTCTCCTCCAGGTCCTGATTGGCTCTCTGAGACGCTGTGTAGCTGTTCTGGAGTCTGCAGAGAGAGCAGGAGACGAGTGGTTAGATGCTCAGCAGGAGAACCGTCTACATCCCAGCCATCACTGAGCTAACATCCTGGATTCAAGTCACCCAGAAGCTGTAGCATCAGGAGCCATTTTACAACAGACCACATCGCTAAGCTAATGCTAACATTGAAAATATCTCCATACTAAGACAACTGTCACATTAACATGAACTTACTGAGCTAACATCAACATGCTAAGCTAACATAACATTAATTCACCTGTGATAAGACTAACAAGACATAACCTTGTTAAGGCTAACATCACACACACACATTAGCATGCTAGGGTTAACATACTGCTAATATGAACATAAGCTAAGATATTCCTTTACATCAACATACAAAGGCTAACAAAACTAACACAAACATGCTTAATCTAATGTTAGCATGCTAAAGTTGAAATATTGTTTAACATAAAGAGGCTAAGGCTAACATCACACACACTCATTAGCATGCTACGGTTAACATACTGCTAATATGAACATAAGCTAAGATATTCCTTTACATCAACATACAAATGCTAACAAAACTAACATGAGCATGCTTAAATTTACCTTAATTTAACATTAGTATGCTAAAGTTGAAATATTGTTAAACATAAGCAGGCTAAGGCTAACAAACCTACCATCAATATAACATAACGCTAACATTGCAATACTTAGAATAACATGAATCAAATGCAACCACGCCAAGCTACATCAAGCTAACCTCACCATAAAGCTAATATAAATTTAACATCCTCATTTCAAGGCTAACGCAATGCTAGTCACACCTCCTTATGCTAATGTAACACTAACATTACAAGCTAACATTAGCACTTTAAAGCTAACATACTGCTCATGTTAGCAAAGCCTGCGGTATTACAACACAAAGGCTAACAATACTAAGATCAGTGTGCTATTGGCGGCTGCAGCGCATCTAGTGATCTTTCCCAACATCGCAAAGTCAATCCTTTTAAGATGGTTAGACATAAATATTGCTCTCCGCATCATTGCGCACCCTGGTTGATGTTTTTCTTGCCGCTTCTGCGTAGCAAGATGCAGAATAGTGACCTATGTCGGCTACTAATCGCGTTCATGTCGGATGAATGCGATCTAGCCGTAGGTCGCATTAAACAGATCCGATTCATAACGGATTCAGGACCTCAGAACCAAGTATTCTGGGTCGCATTGGAAAAAAAAAAAAATCAGATCTGTGTTGTTCAGACTGCCATGAAATGATGAGATCCAGGTCGCATATTGGGGATACAGGTGCTGGTCATAAAATTAGAATATCATGAAAAAGTAGATTGATTTCAGTAATTCCATTTAAAAAGTGAAACTTGTATATTATATTCATACATTACATACAAACTCATATATTTCAGATGTTTATTTTGTTTAATTTTGATGATTACAAATGACAACAAATGAAAATCTCAAATTCATCATATCAGAAAATTAGAATATTACTGAAGACCAATAAAAACAAAGGATTTATAGAAATGTTGGCCAACTGAAAAGTATGAACATGAAAAGTATGAGCATGTACAGCACTCAGTATTTAGTTGGGCCTCCTTTGGCCTGTATTACTGCAGCAATGCGGCGTGGCATGGAGTCGATCAGTCTGTGGCACTGCTCAGGTGTTATGATAGCCCAGGTTGCTCTAATAGTGGCTTTTAGCTCTTCTGAATTGTTGGGTCTGGTGTATTGCATCTTCTTCTTCACAATACCCCATAGATTTTCTATGGGGTTAAGGTCAGGAGAGTTTGCTGGCCAATTAAGAACAGGGATACCATGGTCCTTCAACCAGGTACTGGTAGCTTTGGCACTGTGTGCAGGTGCCAAGTCCTGTTGGAAAATGAAATCTGCATCTCCAAAAAGTTGGTCAGCTGCAGGAAGCATGAAGTGCTCTAAAACTTCCTGGTATGTGGCTGCGTTGACCCTGGACCTCAGAAAACACAATGGACCAACACCAGCAGATGACATGGCACCCCAAACCATCACTGACTGTGGAAACTTTACACTGGACTTCAAGCAACGTGGATGAAGTGCCTCTCTTCTTTTCCTCCAGACTCTGGGACCTTGATTTCCAAAGGAAATGCAAAATTTACTTTCATCAGAGAACATGACTTTGGACCACTCACCAGCAGTCCAGTCCTGTTTCTCTTTAGCCCAGGCAAGACGCTTCTGACGCTGTCTGTGGTTCAAGAGTGGCTTGACACAAGGAATGCGACAGCAGAAACCCATGTCTTTCATACGTCTGTGTGTGGTGGTTCTTGAAGCACTCACTCCAGCTGCAGTCCACTCTTTGTGAATCTCCCCCACATTTTTGAAGGGGTTTTGTTTCACAATCCTCTCCAGGGTGCGGTTATCTCTCTTGCTTGTACACTTTTTTCGACCACATCTTTTCCTTCCCTTCGCCTCTCTATTAATGTGCTTGGACACTGAGCTCTGTGAACAGCCAGCCTCTTTAGCGATGACCTTTTGTGTCTTGCCCTCCTTGTGCAAGGTGTCGATGGTCGTCTTTTGGACAACTGTCAAGTCAGCAGTCTTCCCCATGATTGTGTAGCCTATAGAACTAGACTGAAAGACCATTTAAAGGCTTTTGCAGGTGGTTTGAGTTAATTAGCTGATTAGAGTGTGGCACCAGGGGCCATCAATTTTGAACCTTTTCACAATATTCTAATTTTCTGATATGATGAATTTGAGATTTTCATTTGTTGTCATTTGTAATCATCAAAATTAAACAAAATAAACATCTGAAATATATGAGTTTGTATGTAATGTATGAATATAATATACAAGTTTCACTTTTTAAATGGAATTACTGAAATCAATCTACTTTTTCATGATATTCTAATTTTATGACCAGCACCTGTATATACCTAGACGCCTCATTGGACGCTGTCGGCAGCGAGGCCGACGTGCCTAGAAGGCGGCCATCTTGGATCAGACCAGACAGCTTTTTATCCTATTTTATGTTTTTATATTTGCCATGGAACAGGTGAACTTCCCATCTATCCCTCTCAGCCCAGGGAGAATGGCAGCCCGCTGCCGGCTTTAATGCAGAGTTAATTTCCCCATTGTGGGACCAAGAAGGGATTTACATTAATCTTTTAATCTTTATAATTTTATTCTTTCCATCACCTGGAAGTTGGTAAGGAATCAAAATAAAATCTTATTATAACTCAGTTTTTATAAACATGGAGCTCCTCTGAGTAACTCCTTTATAATCACATTTAATCACAGACTGACTGACTTAATTAGTTTTAAACATATAAGAAAAACTTAATGTTTGGTTGATAAAAGCTGGTTTCATTTTTAATTGGGTCCTCAGAAAGCAGAACAGATCAGATTATTTTATTTCACTACCTAAAAGAAATAAAGTATTTTAAAGTGGCCATTGCAATGCACTCAAAGGCCACTAGGGGGAGACATCCCCCAGCTGGGAAACGCGGCTCTCAACTATAAATATTATCACTTTCTATACATATCAGCTATTGATGAAACTGTGTCATCATCATCATCATCATCATCATCATCATCATCATGGCCGTCCTTACCTGCGGAACTTGTCCCTCATCTTGTCCAGGTCGTCTCTCGTTCGGCTAAGCTCCGCCTCCATGTAGTGACGGCTGCCCTCAAACTCGGCCTCCATGGCCTCCATCTTGTGGGTGGAGAGGGAGAGGCGGTGCCGCAGGTCCTCATTCTGCTGCTGGAGGATTCTGGGAAAGAAGGCGGGACAGGAAGTGATTTAGTCTAATTAGTGGACCCCTCCCCCACCCGCTGCTGGAGGAAGGAACGACCCACAGTGACTCACCTGATCCGGTCCGTGTCTGAGAGCGCCTCCTGAAACAGAGCAGAAGGAGGATTAGGAGGAGAAGCAGCGGTTAGGAGCTCTGAGCTACGGCTGATCTGGACGCTCCTCTGAGCTCCAGGCGTGGGTCATAAAGGTGTTTGGGATGACAGCTTTAGGGAAGGTGGGTAAAGAACAACTTTGCTGTTGGAACCAATCAGAAGGACAGTTTTCCGTAAACGGAGAAGGAATCAAAGATGGAGGCAGGCGGGGAAACACGGGCGGATCAGAGACGACCCGTCTCCTCACCTACCTTGATGTGGGACAGCAGAGACACATTAGAAAGAGGGGGTCCAGGTCTGGGGCGGGCTTTTTTCTCCTTTGTGGTCCTCTTCACCCCTCCAGTTACCTTTCTATGCCCCGCCCCTTGTGTGATGTCACTGTGGCCCGCTCTTTGTCTTTCCAGGGGCTCGTACCGACTGTCCGATCGACACAGTGACGCCGCCCAGCCGTCCCAGCGCCGCGTCCGGTCCACCACTTCCTCTGGATGGTTGAAGTCGGCCCGGTGGCGGCCATGCCGGTGGGCGGGGCTTGCTCGCTGCTTTTGTGGCACCTTACCGAGCAGCGAAAGGCGGGCGGGGCTCAGGACACGGCAGGTTATCTCGTCTAAAAAGCTGGAGAAGCGGACCTTCTCCTCCAAAACCTGCATCTTCCAGTTCCAGCCGCCCCCGCAGGGGGAGGGTGGCGTCAGGGACTGCAGGGAGGGGGGCCCCCGGTGATCCGCGTGGCACCGCCCCGCGCCCTCATCCAGGAGCTCAGCTGACCTGGACTTCCTGAGGGTATCGTAGGTGTGCTCCACACCCAGGGAGGCCGACTGCTTCAGGATGCCTCTCGGTGTGGCGGCGCAGGAGGCGCTCTTCATTCGGTGAGTCCGACCGTGGCGCTGCCTTACCGGAGAGCGCCTCCTGCTGGAAGCGGCTACTTGGTGACTTCTTCTGCTGTCTCTGCTGTTGGTGAGGGGGTGAAGGGCTGAGCTGTGAAGCTCGGACGCTGCGACGCCTACCTCCAGCGTTCTGCTGCACCGGCGAGGGCGATGGGCGGAGTTACTGAAGGGCGGCGGTGGAGGAATGTAAAGTTCCAGGCTGGACAGGCTGGAGACGTCCAACTCGCTCTCTGAGGGCAGCGAGGGTGGGACGCCATGCTGTGAGGCACCGGAGGGGAGGCGGGCACAGAGGTGCTGGGGGGCGCTTTGAGGCGCATTTAGGGTGAGCCTGTTTACCTGACTGAAGTCGGGGTGCGAGGCAGGTGGCGGCGAAGCGGCGGTCGGGCCGTGGCGCGTCTCACGGTGCTGTGGAGGAGCCTTCCTGTACGGCTTCCTGGCTGGGGTGGCGCTGGCCATCCTTCCTCTGCTTCAGTCCTGCTGGGAGATGAGGTAGTTAAAACACCCGACGCCGCCGCCGCTCACACGCCAACCGCTCAGCACAACGCCTGAACCCGACTGCTGATCGTCACGGCAACACTCTGCCTGTGAGAGCAGGTCGATGGCGGCTCATCAGACCCAGCTGAGTACTGCTGTCAGAGTGGAAGCCTGAGGCCCACCATTGATCCACCTCTGTTTCCAGAACAGGAAGTGCAGCGGCATTGATCTGAGCGCGGCTAGCACTCAGAGCTAACCCTCAGCAGGCCAGAGCTGTGTGACATCACCACTCCTGTGTGATGATGTCACACAGCTCTCCCTGGTTAAAGTCACAGAGGAGCTAAACTTCAACAGTCAAACTGAGAATCCTGCTAAGAAGCGCTTCAAACACGGAGAACAGGCCTGGATCAGGAACCATGGCGTGCTTCCGGACCGCTCTGGGTTACAGAGTCGGTCTCCATGCAGGAAGCGGGTCATAAGCGTGACTTTCCGCTCCATTTGGTCCCTCTGGATCACCTGACCACGAGCTGCTCCCAGGGAGCCAATGACGGGTCATCGACCAGCAGCACACATCCATCTTTCCATCTTAGTGAGGACCTCCCATCATGGAGCCTCGTCCAGCTGCAGGTTTCATCTGTTTGCAGAAGCTGCAGGAGTTTATTTTGGTTTGGTTTTTATACGTCTTCCTTTTTAAAAAGATCCATTTGTAACATTCCTCTTGGGTTACAGTAATATTTTTAAATCAGAATAATGTTTTAAGAGGTGAATTCTTTCTCCAGGTTTTCCAGGTTAGGAACTCAGACCAGAGCCTGGCACTAAACCACCTATAAAGATGGTGGGAAAAAGTGCGATCCCTCGCACCAGCAGGAGCCAGCATGGCTGATCAGGCGTCGTACATTTTCAGATAGATCCTAATCAATCCAGCACTGTTTACCATCAGGCCTGAATTACTTTCAATAATTAGAGAACAGGAAAGCAAAAACAGATCATTGTTAAACTCTGAGGTGGGCTATGCTTTTACGTCCCGTCACACAAAGGATTGTGGGAAACCGTACAGCTCTGATGCAGTAGATCAGATGTGTCAGGAGGGCCCTATGCAAAGGAACTTCCTTCCTATCTACCACCTCTATTCAGACAGACCTGGTCTTACTGCTTTAGGTGTGAACGTAGCATGAACAGAGGAATGAGCCACCAACATCCAAACATCCCATAATAATCCACTGGCTTCCTTCACTCTTCATCGTTTTAGGATCTGTCTGTAGGGATAAAGGCGGGGCTGGACGTCTCCAGGTCAGACTCATCCTCACTCTCTTGTTTTTCTGAGGTCACCAGGCGCGTGCGAGCGGTCACCAGGTGTGTGCATGTGGTCATCTGGTAGTTCGGTGGTCCATACCTGAGCTGTGATGGTTTCCACAACAGATTTCATCCAGAGAGATGAGCAGGGCTGAAACACAGAGAGAGCAGTGAGAGCAGTGAGTGCCCCTAATATCCTTCTAACACCCTGCTAACATCCCGCTAACATCCCGCTAACATCCCCCTAACACCTCGCTAACATCCTGCTAACACCCCGCTAACACCCTGCTAACATCCCCCCCAACACCTCGCTAACACCCTGCTAACATCCCCCCCAACACCTCGCTAACACCCTGCTAACACTGCGCTAACACCCTGCTAACACCCTGCTAACATCCCCCCAACACCTCGCTAACACCCTGCTAACACCCCGCTAACACCCTGCTAACATCCCACAAACATCCCCCCAACACCCTGCTAACACCCTGCTAACATCCCCCCAACACCTCGCTAACACCCTGCTAACACCCCGCTAACACCCTGCTAACACCCCGCTAACACCCTGCTAACATCCCCCCCAACACCTCGCTAACACCCTGCTAACATCCCCCCCAACACCTCGCTAACACCCTGCTAACACTGCGCTAACACCCTGCTAACACCCTGCTAACATCCCCCCAACACCTCGCTAACACCCTGCTAACACCCCGCTAACACCCTGCTAACATCCCACAAACATCCCCCAACACCCTGCTAACACCCTGCTAACATCCCCCCAACACCTCGCTAACACCCTGCTAACACCCCGCTAACACCCTGCTAACACCCCGATAACACCCTGCTAACATCCCCCAACACCTCGCTAACACCCTGCTAACACCCCGCTAATACCCTGCTGACACCCCGCTAACACCCTGCTAACACCCTGCTAACATCCCCCAACACCTCGCTAACACCCTGCTAACACCCTGCTAACATCCCCCAACACCTCGCTAACACCCTGCTAACACCCCGCTAACACCCTGCTAACATCCCCCAACACCTCGCTAACACCCTGCTAACACCCCGCTAACACCCTGCTAACACCCCGCTAACACCCTGCTAACATCCCCCAACACCTCGCTAACACCCTGCTAACACCCCGCTAATACCCTGCTGACACCCCGCTAACACCCTGCTAACACCCTGCTAACATCCCCCAACACCTCGCTAACACCCTGCTAACACCCTGCTAACATCCCCCAACACCTCGCTAACACCCTGCTAACACCCCGCTAACACCCTGCTAACATCCCCCAACACCTCGCTAACACCCTGCTAACACCCCGCTAACACCCTGCTAACACCCCGCTAACACCCTGCTAACATCCCCCAACACCTCGCTAACACCCTGCTAACACCCTGCTAACACCCTGCTAACATCCCCCAACACCTCGCTAACACCCTGCTAACACCCTGCTAACATCCCCCCAACACCTCGCTAACACCCTGCTAACACCCCGCTAACACCCCGCTAACACCTCGCTAACACCCTGCTAACATCCCGCTAACACCCTGCTAACATCCCGCTAACACCCTGCTAACATCCCGCTAACACCCTGCTAACATCCCGCTAACACCCCGCTAACACCCTGCTAACAACCCGCTAACACCCTGCTAACAACCCGCTAACACCCCGCTAACAACCCGCTAACACCCTGCTAACATCCCGCTGACACCCTGCTAACATCCCGCTAACACCTCGCTAACACCCTGCTAACATCCTGCTAACATCCCGCTAACACCCTGCTAACAACCCGCTAACACCCTGCTAACAACCCGCTAACACCCCGCTAACCACCCGCTAACACCCCGCTAACATCCCGCAAACATCCCTCCAACACCCCGCTAACACCCTGCTAACACCCTTCTAACATCCCCCCATCAAGGTGCATTGTGGGAAATTCTGACTCCACCAGACGAGATCTCTACCAACGATTATTGAAATAATCATTTTGCCTTTTCAAAATTAAAAAGAGAGGAATTCCATTTTAAACTGGCTGCTGAAATCCGCATTTAAAAAAGCCTGATCTCACAGCCAGGAGGTCAAAGCGGCGGAGCTTCATGATCTTTGTTCCATTCAGGCTGACCTGCAGCTCTGAACCTCAACAGACAGCAGAGACAACTCCTCCTCACCTGGTGCTCCTCATCCTTTGCTCCTGCTCCTCCCCCTCCTCCTGATGGTGCTGAAGTTCTGCTCCTCTGTTAACCTGGAAGGAAACAGATGGAATCAGGATCTATAGAACCGCTGATCCATACAGGATCTTCCGGTTCTCCTCAAAGATCAGATCATGTTAGCTCAGAGGGCCCCCGGTCCCCCTGGTCCCCGCTGCTCAGAGGACCCCCGGTCCCCGTGGTCCCCGCGGCTCAGAGGACCCTGTCCGTGTGGTCCCCGCGGCTCAGAGGGCCCCCGGTCCCCCTGGCTCAGAGGACCCTGTCCGTGTGGTCCCCGCGGCTCAGAGGACCCTGTCCGTGTGGTCCCCGCGGCTCAGAGGGCCCCCATTTCACCCTGGTCTCTGCGGCTCAGAGGGCTCCCGGTCCCCGCAGCTCTGAGGGCCCTGTCCCCCTAGTCCCAGCAGCTCTGAGGACCCTGTCCCCCTAGTCCCAGCAGCTCAGAGGGCCCCCAGGCCCCCTGGTCCCACGGCTCAGAGGGCCCCCGGTCCCGCGGCTCAGAGGGCACCCGGTCCCTGCGGCTCAGAGGGCACCCGGTCCCTGCGGCTCAGAGGGCACCCGGTCCCTGCTGTCCCTTTAGCTCAGGAATGTCTCAGAGGACAATGGGCCTTTTCTTCCTGCATGTCTGGGGCCCCGCTGGCACTGAGGGGCCCAGCAGGGTGGCAGGGTGCAGACGGATCATGTAACCAACCTGAACCCGACCACCAGAGCAAGTTTATATGACCCAGATACACCTGAGCAGGTTGGGGGGGGTCAACTCTCCCCCTCCTCTTCTTCCAGCCACCTGCTCTGAGCTGAACCCTCCATCAGAACCAGACCAGGAACCAGGACCAGAACCAGAACCCTGGGTTCCCCCTAATGGGCCAAAACCACCTGATCCTCCAAGCCATGGTACCAGAACCAGTTCCTCCTGCTGCTCCCTCTGAACCGAACACCTCCTGGTTCCTCCTGCTGCTTCCTCTGAACACCTCCTGCTGCTCCCTCTGAACACCTCCTAATTCCTCCTGCTGCTCCCTCTGAACACCTCCTAATTCCTCCTGCTGCTCCATCTAAACACCTCCTAATTCCTCCTGCTGCTCCCTCTGAACACCTCCTAATTCCTCCTGCTGCTCCATCTAAACACCTCCTAATTCCTCCTGCTGCTCCCTCTGAACACCTCCTGCTGCTCCCTCTGAACACCTCCTAATTCCTCCTGCTGCTCCCTCTGAACACCTCCTAATTCCTCCTGCTGCTCCATCTAAACACCTCCTAATTCCTCCTGCTGCTCCCTCTGAACACCTCCTAATTCCTCCTGCTGCTCCATCTAAACACCTCCTAATTCCTCCTGCTGCTCCCTCTGAACACCTCCTAATTCCTCCTGCTGCTCCATCTAAACACCTCCTAATTCCTCCTGCTGCTCCCTCTGAACACCTCCTGCTGTTCCCTCTGAACACCTCCTAATTCCTCCTGCTTCTCCCTCTACACACCTCCTAATTCCTCCTGCTTCTCCCTCTAAACACCCCCTAATTCCTCCTGCTGCTCCCTCTAAACACCTCCTGCTGTTCCCTCTAAACACCTCCTGCTGCTCCCTCTAAACACCTCCTAATTCCTCCTGCTGCTCCCTCTGAACCGGAACACCTCCTGGTTTCTCCTGCTGCTCCCTCTGAACACCTCCTGGTTCCTCCTGCTGCTCCCTCTGAACACCTCCTGGTTCCTCCTGCTGCTCCCTCTAAACACCTCCTGGTTCCTCCTGCTGCTCCCTCTGAACACCTCCTGGTTCCTCCTGCTGCTCCCTCTGAACACCTCCTGGTTCCTCCTGCTGCTCCCTCTGAACACCTCCTGCTGCTCCCTCTGAACACCTCCTGGTTCCTCCTGCTGCTCCCTCTGAACACCTCCTGGTTCCTCCTGCTGCTCCCTCTGAACACCTCCTGCTGCTCCCTCTGAACACCTCCTGGTTCCTCCTGCTGCTCCCTCTGAACACCTCCTGGTTCCTCCTGCTGCTCCCTCTAAACACCTCCTGGTTCCTCCTGCTGCTCCCTCTAAACACCTCCTGGTTCCTCCTGCTGCTCCCTCTAAACACCTCCTGGTTCCTCCTGCTGCTCCCTCTGAACACCTCCTGGTTCCTCCTGCTGCTCCCTCTGAACACCTCCTGGTTCCTCCTGCTGCTCCCTCTGAACACCTCCTGCTGCTCCCTCTGAACACCTCCTGGTTCCTCCTGCTGCTCCCTCTGAACACCTCCTGGTTCCTCCTGCTGCTCCCTCTAAACACCTCCTGGTTCCTCCTGCTGCTCCCTCTGAACACCTCCTGCTGCTCCCTCTAAACACCTCCTAATTCCTCCTGCTGCTCCCTCTGAACCGGAACACCTCCTGGTTTCTCCTGCTGCTCCCTCTGAACACCTCCTGGTTCCTCCTGCTGCTCCCTCTGAACACCTCCTGGTTCCTCCTGCTGCTCCCTCTAAACACCTCCTGGTTCCTCCTGCTGCTCCCTCTGAACACCTCCTGGTTCCTCCTGCTGCTCCCTCTGAACACCTCCTGGTTCCTCCTGCTGCTCCCTCTGAACACCTCCTGCTGCTCCCTCTGAACACCTCCTGGTTCCTCCTGCTGCTCCCTCTGAACACCTCCTGGTTCCTCCTGCTGCTCCCTCTGAACACCTCCTGCTGCTCCCTCTGAACACCTCCTGGTTCCTCCTGCTGCTCCCTCTGAACACCTCCTGGTTCCTCCTGCTGCTCCCTCTAAACACCTCCTGGTTCCTCCTGCTGCTCCCTCTAAACACCTCCTGGTTCCTCCTGCTGCTCCCTCTAAACACCTCCTGGTTCCTCCTGCTGCTCCCTCTGAACACCTCCTGGTTCCTCCTGCTGCTCCCTCTGAACACCTCCTGGTTCCTCCTGCTGCTCCCTCTGAACACCTCCTGCTGCTCCCTCTGAACACCTCCTGGTTCCTCCTGCTGCTCCCTCTGAACACCTCCTGGTTCCTCCTGCTGCTCCCTCTAAACACCTCCTGGTTCCTCCTGCTGCTCCCTCTGAACACCTCCTGGTTCCTCCTGCTGCTCCCTCTGAACACCTCCTGGTTCCTCCTGCTGCTCCCTCTGAACACCTCCTGGTTCCTCCTGCTGCTCCCTCTGAACACCTCCTGGTTCCTCCTGCTGCTCCCTCTGAACACCTCCTGGTTCCTCCTCCTGCTCCCTCTGAACACCTCCTGGTTCCTCCTGCTGCTCCCTCTGAACACCTCCTGGTTCCTCCTGCTGCCCTCTGATTGGCTGCAGGAGCCTCAGAGTGTTTTTCCACTCAGCTGTCTGTCAGGCGCAGTCACGCTGATGCCCTCGGTACTGTCTTGCAGGCTGCGGTTAATAAACCAACCGGACTCAGCGGTTCGGGCCGCAGCAGTCCGGTTCGGACCGTCCCCTGATCACCTCCATGTCTCCGTCCTCCGATGCACCGATGAAGCTGGAGCAGCGGCTTCGGTGCCGCTACCGATCACACCGTGGCCCACTTCCCTCACCACCATCCCCACAAACACTGAACGATCCTAGGCGCCGGTCGGCCCCGCGCGAATCGCCCGGAACCCTCGCAGACCGCTGGCAGCTTACCTGAGGGGCGGTCAGCGCGGCCCAGTGCGGCCCGGGGCGGCTCCACCGAGGGCAGACAAACTTCAGCAGGAGATCCGAGGCTCTTCCTCGGGCTGTTAGAGCAGGTTCGGAGGCTCCGGACCGATCCGACTCCCGGAAGCAGCGCTGCGGTCCGGAGCTGCTAGCAGGTCCGAGGTAAGCGGTCAGAGATGGCAGCAGCGGCCCGCAGAGGGGCTCCTTTCCTGGGAGTAAAATCCGCTCAGAGCCGCTCCGGGAAAAGTTGATCCGCTGCCATCTTTACCCGCGGGGCATGATGGGTAATCCTCAGGAATCCCGGCTAGCATTTAATTCCCGCCCCTGCGTGCGGCATTACGTAACAGACCACGTACAGAAGGAGAGGCTAAATTACTCTTTTAATTTTCTTTTATTTAAATATTACTATGAGGCTTCAGTTTAAAAACTAGATAGGATTCGAATAACAGCAGCTCAGTGACTGAAAATATCCAGATATAAAAAAAACAACACCTGACATCCGTCCATCATCCATCCATCCTTCATCCATCCATCCATCCATCATCCATCCATCCATCCTTCCATCCATCCATCATCCATCCATCCACCCATCATCCATCCACCCATCATCCATCCATCCATCCTTCCATCCATCCATCATCCATCCATCCACCCATCATCCATCCACCCATCATCCATCCATCCATCCATCCTTCATCCATCCATCCATCATCCATCCATCCATCCTTCCATCCATCCATCATCCATCCATCATCCATCCACCCATCATCCATCCATCCATCCATCATCATCCATCCATCCATCCATCATGCATCCATCCATCCTTCATTCATCCATCCATCATCCATCCATCATCATCCATCCATCATGCATCCATCCATCCATCCTTCATCCATCCATCATCATCCATCCATCCATCCATTATGCATCCATCCATCCTTCATCCATCCATCATCCATCCATCATCATCCATCCATCCATCATGCATCCATCCATCCTTCATCCATCGATCATCCATCCATCATCCATCCATCATCATCCATCATCCATCCATCATCATCCATCCATCCATCATGCATCCATCCATCCTTCATCCATCGATCATCCATCCATCATCCATCCATCATCATCCATCATCCATCCACCATCATCCATCCATCATCATTCATCCATCATCATCCATCCATCCATCCATCCACCATCCATCCATCCATCCATCATTCATCCATCCAATTCTATTCAGTTTATTTCTATAGCTCCAATTCACATAACGTCATCTGAGGTCACTTTCCAGTTCACCAGATCATCTATCTAAGGAAAACCAGCTGATTGCATCGACTCATTGACTCTTCAGCAATCCCTCACACTAAGCATGCTTGTAGCGACAGTGGAGAGGAAAAACTCCCTTTGAACAGGAAGAAACCTCCAGCAGAACCAGGCTCAGTGTGAGCAGCCATCTGCTGAGGCCCACTGGGGTTCAAGGAGACAGAAGCAGACATAGAAAAAGAAGCATAGATACAAAAGGCAACTGTCAACCAGCTCCACAGGCGGCCCCGTCCAGGAAACACACAGCCAGGCAGACGAGCTCCGAGCCAGCTCCCATGTCAGAGGATGAAGAGAGCACATCCAGTTAGTCACAGTCAGAGAAACAGGACTACACTGGAAAACAGGCCAAGCTCCAACATCTAGAAACAAAGGTGTTGATGGCAGCACCACAGCTGATATTTCTCTCCAGGATGGAGTCACAGCCAAACAGGAACTTTAGATCAGAAAGGAAGATTGGATATAGGTCTATAATTGACCAAGTCATCTGGGTCAAGAGACGGTTTCTTAAGCAGAGGTTTAATTCCAGCAACCTTAAAAGTCTATGGTACATATCCCTGTAACAGAGATAGATTAATCACATCTAAAATGGAGGAGGAGATCAAAAGGAATACCTCCTTAAATAACCTGGTTGGAACTGGATCTAACATCCAAGTTGAAGGATTAGATGAAGACAATAGTTTTGCTAACTCTGAAAGTTCAACTGGATCAAAGCAGTCTAAACCCGGTTCAGATTCCATGACTACCTCAGATGCTGCCCCACATCATTAAATATAAAAGGTGAAATATTATTTTTGTTAATCCATCATAATCTCAAATGAGCATGTTTCCTTCAGGAGTTCCAGGTAGCCTGGTGATGGTTGCTGATGTTCAGGCTAAAGACCATCTTCTCTCACTGAGCTGGGAATGTTACCAACAGGTGGAATCCCATTAAATGTTTAAATATTGACTAACATGCTCCTCAATGAAATATCGAATGTGACATGATGCATCCAGTTCAGCGCAGAAAGGTTTTAACTTAAACATATTCAGATCTAATATCATGGTCTTGGATCCATGAAGCTGTTGCAGACAGAACTGAGGGAATGTGATGTGGGAGCAGCATTTCCATGTCTGGTTTCATCATCCTGCTTCTTTGTGTCTGAGCTGCAGCGTCCCACTTTCTCCTGCAGTTTCATTAAACTTTCATCCCTCTGAAGTCGTTCAGGAGAAGTCATCACATTGTTTCAAAGACAGAGAGAGTCCCTGAGGAGCGCGTCTGAGCAGGGTTTATCAGAGCAAACTCACTTCCTGTGATGGAGTGAAAGCACCCATACCAAACCGGAGGAAAGGCTGGTCTGCATTCAAATCATCCTCTGTTTGGAGAATCCTCACCCTCTACCTCAGATTTTACAGTCCTCTCATGTTCCCATGTCCAATTAAAGAGGCAGCTTGTGTCCTGACTGGGCTGATGTGTCCTTTGCTGGGTCTGGTTCTCCTGTTGTTGGTATTTTGGGAGTTTTATTTCTGTTTTTCTGAACCATAAATAAGGACATCCATCATAAAAGTGTCAGCTGGTGTGAAAGGATGAAAACAACAGGAACCCATCAGATCGCATGGTGACGGACACAGAGCAGCTGCTGGACAGATTATCATGTCCCTGCTGGACAGAAAGATGAAGACAATGTCCAGCTGCTTGAAAACAATGCAGCCCCCCACCCCCCACCCCCCCGGATACGACAGCTATGCCAGCAACAGGAGGAATGGAGCACATTCAGTGGTTTGATTCCTGCAGCTGCTGGTGTCCCTCTGCACCAGTTCAGGAGCAGCAACAGTGTTGCTGGACATGAAGATCTGTTGTCGACATCCGACCGGGCCGAGCCATACCTGGACCCCCTTATACCAGGACCCCCTTATAACTGGACCCCCTTATACCTGGACCCCCTTATACCAGGACCCCTTATACCTTTATCCCCTTATACCTGGATCCCCTTATACCTGGACCCCCTTATACCTGGACCCCCTTATACCAGGACCCCTTATACCTTTATCCCCTTATACCTGGACCCCCTTATACCTGGATCCACTTATACCTGGATCCCCTTATACCTGGACCCCTTATACCTGGATCCCCTTATAACTGGACCCCCTTATACCAGGACCCCTTATACCTGGATCCCCTTATACCTGGATCCCCTTATACCTGGACCCCCTTATACAAGGACCCCTTATACCTTTATCCCCTTATACCTGGATCCCCTTATACCTGGATCCCCTTATACCAGGACCCCTTATACCTGGACCCCCTTATACCAGGACCCCCTTATACCTGGACCCCCTTATACCAGGACCCCCTTATACCTGGACCCCCTTATACCTGGATCCCCTTATACCTGGATCCCCTTATACCTGGACCCCCTTATACAAGGACCCCTTATACCTTTATCCCCTTATACCTGGATCCCCTTATACCTGGATCCCCTTATACCAGGACCCCTTATACCTAGACCCCCTTATACCAGGACCCCCTTATACCTGGACCCCCTTATACCAGGACCCCCTTATACCTGGACCCCCTTATACCTGGATCCCCTTATACCTGGACCCCCTTATACCAGGACCCCTTATACCTGGACCCCCTTATACCAGGACCCCCTTATACCTGGACCCCCTTATACCAGGACCCCCTTATACCTGGACCCCCTTATACCTGGACCCCTTATACCTGGACCCCCTATATACCAGGACCCCCTTATACCTGGACCTGGTCTGTGCAGTCAGTTCATCCAGATTACCATCCTGCCTTCAAAGATTATTTCTCTGTGGGAGCCGCTCAGACCCCCACATACCGGCGCTGCGCTGTCACTGGGAATCCCCAGCAGCAGCTGCCTCAGACCCGCTCGCCTCTTGGGGGTTTTCCCCTACTGTTGGTGGAGCTGGAAGTAGATGTTAGCGTTTTTTAGGTCTGTGCTACAAACTGCAGGCAGCAGGATAATAAAAGCCAACATATTCTGCCGGCAGGTTTTGACGTTTGAAGTTAATTTAGGCGTTAATAAACTGTTTCAGAGGAGTGATCATAGGGCTCTGCATCAGCAGCGCTGTGTCTGACTCCCTGCCAGCTCCCAGATCAGCTTCTCTGATTGGTTGATGCGGCGCGTCCAGCAGCTAAAGCTCAATGTTTCCAACTCCAGCAGCTGCTGCTTCTGAAGCGCCTCAGATGCTCAGAAGCTCTAGGCGCGCTGCAGGAAGTTCTTGATGGGCGTCAACCATTGACTTGGATGTAAACCTGCTGCTTCTGCTGCCTGCGGTCTGAACATAGCTCTTCCATAACATGGAAAAATACAAAATGAGGAATTAACTGTGCTCAAAACAAAAAATGAACTAAAAAACGCAGTTGGCAAACTAAAGTCAAACAAGAGGCCAGGGGCAGATGGTTTTCCCAATGAGTGGTAGAGAATGATGAGGACTTTTCCTCATTAATGTTAAATTCATTCAGTCATTCCTCCATCTTGGAAAGAGGCAGTAATCTCTGTTATTGGAAAAAAGGTCAAAATGAGACACTTATCAGCCTGTCTCTGTTCTAAATGTCGATTATCAATTATTTACCTCCATTCTATCTAAAACACTTGAACACCTTTTACCTGAGTTGACAGATGACCAATCAGGTTCCATCATGGGAAGACAAACACAAGATAATATAAGGCAAAAACTTCATATTATTGACCAAATAAACAGAAAGCTATAATCAGCAGCCTTGATTGGTCTGGATGCAGAAAAAGCATTTGATAGGGTCTCCTGGACATTTCTATATAAAGTATTAGAGAGAATTGGTTTTAATGAACAAATCATTAGATGTATTCAGTCACTATATAAAGACCTCACTAATAGGATTAACATGAAGGGCCATATTGGGGGAAGCTTCAATCTGTTTTGAGGCACACACCAGGGCTGCTGCCTCGGCCCCTCACTATTCACTACTAATACAGAACCTCTGGAACAAAGCATGAGGAAAAACAAACCACTGGAGAGAGGGAACATTGCAGGATGGATCATGGATGGATGGATGATGGATGATGGATGATGGATGGATGGATGATGGATGGATGAAGGATGGATGGATGCATGATGGATGGATGGATGGATGATGATGGATGGATGATGGATGGATGGATGGATGATGGAGGATGGATGATGGATGGATGGAGGATGGGTGGATGGATGGATGGATGGATGGATGGATGATGGATGGATGGATGGATGATGG